AGAATCCTTTTCTAAATAGTAAGAAGTTAGATTCTTTCCACATTTAAACACGAGCTCGTGATAAATGGGCATTTGAAATTCTTCAAGGATAGATAGAACGTTAGCATCAGGGTTAAAGCTATAGCCAATTACCTTTTTATTCTTAAAATGCAGGATGATCGATCCTGTCGGCTGCGCCATTTTTGTAATGTTCCTCTTCGATTAAATAAATAAATATGCTTTATTAAATTAATAAACTAATTTTTATTATATATATTTTTAATGTCAAACGTACACTTTTTAAATAGATTCATAACAACAACAATAATTACAGTGCTGCCAAATCCAAACAATCAAAAATAAATTAATTAAACAGAGTATATTATAATATTATTATAAGGTATATTACAATTATATTAATAATATAGATGTGGGGCTGAGTTTGTTGTTGACACACATTAAAATGTTATAATACCTTGATAAAAGTTGGCGTTCAGCCAACTGAAATATTGGTAAAATGATTTATATTTTGATCCAATATATGTATTTTTAATTATAGAAATATATGAGTTTTTTTATATTAATCAAAGTTTTATTATAAATTTATATATTTCAAATATATAAATATATAACGAAATATATAGCAAATTATAACTAAACAAAACTTCTAAAAAATGTCATACACCTATCCCCCGATTTACACGGTAGATACGTTCCTGAGAAAAACGTGTAAATCGGGGGATAGGTTTACACAGAAATAAAAATAAAATGCATTGACAGGTTAAAATATGTAGTCAGTACATAAGCTCGGTATTCCTCGTGAGATGTGTACACAGCGCATGTGTTCAATCACAGTAGCATTTTGTATAGGGTGATAAAAACAAAAATAAACTTATTTGGAAAACCGTGTAAAAGCGAAAACGTGTAAAAAAAGTACCGTGTAAATCGGGGGATAGTTATATATATTTATGCATATCTATATATATATAAATGATTGTTTGTATGTTTGTTTGTACACTGCGTGACATTGAAAATGGAACACCATGAAATAGTGGCCAGAAAGTGATGAAACTCGGCAGACAGAGAGAGACAGAGACGAACAATAAGTGATCTTTATTTCAAAATGATAGTCATAATACAGAGCGAGAACGACGTCGGCTTAGTAGCAAGTAGGACCACCGCGGACGGCGATGCACGCAGCAACACGTCTAGGTAAAGAGTCAATCAGAGTACGGATGGCGTCCTGAGGGATGGCTCTCCATTCCCTCTCAACCATTTGCCACAGTTCGTCTTCTGAACGCGGCTGTGGCAAGGCATGCAAACGGCGTCCAATGATGTCCCAGACGTGCTCGATTGGTGAGAGATCAGGAGAGTACGGTGGCCAGGGAAGCATCTGTACATCTTGCAGAGCTTGTTGGCTAATGCGAGCAGTGTGCGGTCGGGCGTTATCCTGCTGATAAAGGGCATTGGGTACCCCCTGAAGGTAGGGGAGTGTCACCGGTCGCAGCACATCATCAACGTATCGTTGGGCCGTCATAGTGCCCTGAATACGAAGTAAAGGTGACCTGGAATCATACGCGATTGCGCCCCAAACCATGATTCCACGTTGTCGCACGGTGGGGCGTTCCACAATTGTTGCCGGATTGGACCTTTCTCCACGTCGACGCCACACGCGTACACGGCGACTATCACTGGACAAGCAGAAACGCGACTCATCTGAGAACACGACCCTGTGCCATTCCGTCATCCACGTCGATCTAGCCCGGCACCATTCCAAACGTTGGCGCCTATTCGGTGGGGTCAATGGCAGTCTTCTTAGCGGACGGCATGAGTGCAAGCCATTAGCAACCAATACGGGGAAGACGATAGGCTATTTTAAAAAATATATAAATCAACTATTAAAACTATATATTCAAATTATTCTACTTAGCTCACGAACAGCGCCCTCTATCAAAGATTAGATTACATTATGCTGATGCAAACAAATAGATAATGCTAATAACAAACAATTATTTTAAAAAAATCTTATCTAAATATATATCCCTCGGGTAGATATGCACACGGGTCAATCCCGGTGCGAAGCCCGGGTCAGCCGCCTAGTTTTTTATATAGAAAGAAAAAAATAGTTTTGTATGTATATAAAATAATTAAGATTAAAAATATAAAAATTTCGATATATAAAATATTTTAAATACAGAAAAAGTTAAGATTTTAGTTTTATTTAAGTAAATAAAAGAAATCAAAAGAAGTTATAAGTTATTTTATGGGCCAACTATCGGCTCGACTGTGGCGCTCGAGTGGCAGATGTTGGAACTAAAATTAGCATTATACTATTTAAGCCCAGTTTAAAGTCAAATTTTAGTGAATACACTTTCATAATTATTTTATTTATAATTAGCAACTCACATACAGCACACATGTCACCCCTCTTTAAACGTGACGTAAAAAAATATTACATTTATTTTAGTTCCCAAAAACGCCACGCGAGCGCCACCGTCCTGCTGATGTTTTCCATAAAGCTAACTTTGTGAAAATATATTTCCAAATGCTTTCATAATTAGAGTCGAAATACTATCGATTTTTAATATATTTCCTCATTATAATCACACAATATAAATAATTTTTAATATAAATTTTAAATATAAATAAATTATTAATTATTTTTATTAAACCACATTTTGATTTGAAAAAAAAAATAGTACAGATGTGATATTGTACTGGGATAAGGTTTATAAATTATGAAAAAAAAAGGCATGATTAATCAAGAATGGGTATTTGGCCAATTCTGGAATAATTAAAAATCAACGAGAATAGTTGATATTTATTTGGAATAGATGACGCAAGCCATCAGCAACTTTCAGTTGCACGATAAGGAGATGCTTTTTTTCACATTTTGATTTTTTTTTTCTTATATACGAAGACTTTATTAATACCTTTTTTATATGGATATAATTTATGATTTCTATTAATATATTAATATGATAAATATATAAATCATATATATGTTATATTAAAATATTATTCTATTTAAAAAATTATATTTCATAGATACAAATACTCTGTTAAATCGACCGCCAGAGGTCACGCTTCCCCTATAAAAACTCATTGTTGTTGTTTCTCGATGGCCGGCTCAAAACTTTTGTACATTATGTAAATAATCTTTTGTTTTTCCTTATTCTACTCGCTTTAAGCCAGGCATTACTTTTATCAAACCAATTTTTTTTATATATATATTCCATATGTTCAATTATATTAATGATCAAAACCATTTTTATTATTATCCTTTCAAGAATTTTAACCACGACTGCATTACCAATACCATTTTAGTCCTAAAAAGAACCAGCAAATGATTCCATAGCATAATCCTCGAGATAATTCCAAAATACAACAGAAATCTCATTCATCTCTTTTTCACAATATATATATAAATAATAAAATTGATTTTACTATTGTTAATATTATTATAATCTTACACACTTCGCACAAATATTCAGAAAGTTTATTTTACAATCTTAATATAAATAGAATTGTCACCAACACAGATAGCGTTATGTAAATTTGGTAAATATTTAAAATTATAATTAGATTATTTTAATTTTCTAATTTTATGTGTTCAATATACACCAATACCTCGCTTTGCGTCCTTTTGTATTTCGTTTTTTTCGAAGTTGCGTCGCTGCTTAATTTTTACTGATTTTCACTGTGCGTCGTTAGATTTTCGAAGTTGCGTTGTTTTGGATTCGAGTCTTTAATTTTTTTTTTATTTTTTTTCCCTAAAATATGGCAACACCTTTGTTTTTGATTGCGCCTTCACATATTTTCACTTTGCGTCGTGTTTTTTTGGAACGTAACCCCGACGCAAAGCGAGGTATGGGTGTATATATATATTTTACACACATTATACATTACAACATATATTTATATGTTATAATACCTTGATAAAGGTTGGCATTTAGCCAACTGAAATATTGGTAAAATAAATGATATTTTGATCCAATATATGTCTTTTTAATTAAAAATTAAAAGATAGGTATTTATTATAAGATGATTTCTTGAAATAGAATTTGATAAGTTTGTTTAAGGATTGAGAGTTGTTGAGCATTTGCTTGATTTGGGTATACATGAGTATTTAAATTGCAGTCGTGAACAAAATCTAAAAAAAGTTTCGAATCTTTTTTTTATCTCTAGTACACGTGGTACAGGCCATGATAATCATGGTGGGTAGAAGTAGGCGACTGCTTTTACTGTAAGTGCACCACATATCTATACATGTGAAAAAAGTTCGATTTTACACTTACAAATGTGCCAGAGCCCCGTTTGGTTACTTTCACTCGCTGGTGGGGTTGAACTTTGGCAAGAATCGGGGGCCATTGGAGCATTTTTTTAATCAGAAAAAAAGTGTCCAATGCGGAAACAAACTCGAGTCGTGGAGGTCGAAAACCAACGGTTTAGACCCTCCTTCCACCGACCCCCCTATTTGAATTCCGTTTTGAATCACAATTTACTTTAATTAATATGATAACATAATTAAGAATTTAATTAAAAAGGCATATATTGGATCAAAAAATTATTTATTTTACCAATATTTCAGCTGGCTGAACGCCAACCTTTATCAAGGTGTTATAACATTTTAAAGTGTTATAACACCTTGATAAAGGTTGGCGTTCAGCCAGCTGAAATATTGGTAAAATAAATAATTTTTTGATCCAATATATGCCTTTTTAATTAAAGCTTTATCTATGGATTGCTCTATTTTCTAAATAATTAAGAATGAAATAATGACTTAAGGCGAGTAGTAAAAAAGAAAGAAAAAGACGTATTTACATATCTAAAGAAAGATTTGAGCAGGCCAACGGGAAACGGAAATATATTTACGGGACTGCTACCCAAAATAAAATTATTTTTGAGCCTCAACGGCCGCGTAAAGCGGAATATACTCGTATACAAACCACTAGGGGGGGGGGGGCTAGGGACAGAATCTCCGTTAAGGAAGAGGAAGATTAGGCCTGATTAAAAGGTAAAGCTTACAGAACCACCCGTGTTTCCAGGTGGTGACTCTCCCAAGTACTGACCAGGCCCGACATTGCTTAACTTTGGTGATAACGAGAACCGCGGTTTTCAATGTGGTATGGTCGTAGACTGGGCCAACGGGATAGAACCATGGGTATATAAAGAGAAAGCGGCGACATCTTGCGGTAGATTTTTTTTACAGAGTAATTTGAACTATAAATTATAATTTTATATAATATATATATATTATATATATACAGCCTTCTCCACGCTGACAAGCGCCAACAGCGCGAAACGCGTTCGTGGATGGCTTTTCTTGATTTATCAAAAAATTGGATTGGCCAAATATCAGGGAACAAGTTAAATAAACGTTAGTTTATTTTTGCTCTACTAGATGGCGCTCTGTTACATAAAAATCACATGTGCTTGTGGTTAGGATATGCTTTCTTTATTTTTAATATATATATATATAGAATATAAGTATTTGATATTTTATATGAAAAATGAATTTTTCAAAATATGCCCCTAATTATTATATAAAATCATCTTGTAATATTTTGGAAGAATGAAACTAAAGTACTCAGTTGTAAAGGATATATTTTCTAGATTCACAAAATACCTTATGGATACCTTATATAGGTGATAAATTCAACAAAATTCAATTTTGAAATAAAATATAATAAATTTTTCAACTCATATTGATGTTTATAAATGTTGCAAAACATGAGTTAATAATAGTCTGAATAGATAAACTAAATTTGATAGAATTTGATTCAACAAATATTCCATCATGATAAAGCACAATTTCCAATTATTTTATTTCCAAAGTGCTATATCCCGCAAGGGATACTTGCGCCAAACAAGGAGAAAAGTTTATTTACATAAGTTATTTACATTATTCAACGCATGAAAACATTAGAGATCCAGATTTTGTAGAAAGTTTAGAATGTATTTACAAAATGAATTGAACTTTAAATATGATTTTTTGTCGGAAATCAAATCGTTAATTTCACAAAAAACTAGTTCATTCTATAATCTCGAAATGCTGAAAAGCACAATTTGGATTAGAAGAAAATAAGACCTAATCCAAATAAATTAAAAGTGTTTGATGTTTCAGTAACAGCACTGTTACCATCATCTGACAAAAGAATAAATGAGAAAAATATCACAGAAAGTTCTTAAATAGTACTGTTAAAAATAAACTTATTCTTTATCTTGTTTACACACTTGATAACAGTAACTATTTAAGAACATGCTGTGATATTTTTCTCATTTATTCTTTTGTCTGATGATGGTGACAATGCTGTTACTGAAACGTCACACGCTATTAAATTATTTGGATTGTGTCTTAATTTCTTGTATTTATATTCCATTATTTCAATTGATTCTATTGGTGAAGGTTATATGGGTCATATACAGAATTAGAATTAATGATATTTTATTCATGATGATTGTCCATGATGATCTACATGGGTTTGTTTGAGTGGCATGAGATATAATGGCTGTATATATCATTAAATTTATAAATTTAATTGCCATCTATCGTTAAATATATATTTGTGGAACATTGTGGGTTCGATTCCCATCCCTGGACACTTTTATTTTTCGTTCATCATTACTCTTCATAATCCACACTTTCATACCTCATCCAAAAAAGTTAGAAATAGTCAATATTTCACCTTGAAATGGGTTTTGATTTTTCATTGAAAAGAAACTCATGCGGTGTAACTTCAAATGTTGTTTTACAATCACAAGCCGCAGTGTATTATAAAATATATATTTGTTATGAAACCATATTTGCGGAAGAGCTTTGCTCTATACAATACCTTGTAATTATATGTATGTTATAAAAACAAAAGATTTTCTGCTTGAATTTAGATCATGTTGAGGATTATGGTAATGCAGTCGTGGTTAAAATCTTGAAAGTATAATAACAAGAATGGTTTTGATCAGAGGTTGCTTTAATTGAGCTAAGGAATATATAAAATACATAATTTGGTAAAAGTACTGCCTGGCTTAAGGCGTAAGAATCTAAAATATGAAAAACTCATTTACATAATGTACAAAAGGTTTGAGCCGGCCATCGGGAAAAACAACAACGAGTTTTTATAGTGAAAACGGCGACCTCTGGTGGTCGATTTAGAAGAGTATTTTAACTATGAAATATATTTGAAAAACATATTTTTTTTATATAACATGTATGTACCTCTACAGATCTATTAACTTATGTCCATAGGTTCACTAAACACCCCTAAGCTGCCTTCCCTAGTAAATTACAGGGACAGAGACGTTTTGAGATTTGATATCTAGGACTCTCCAACCTGCTTAGAATCATGACACATCCACTAACTCTACCCATCGATGCCAGTCCGAATAAGCTTACATTAAAGGCAGAATGTGTAAAATTTCTTAATTATTAATTCATTATATGTATCTCCAATTCCTGAATAAAACCTGAGATTTCTATAATATATGCTTTATATATATATATATATATCACATTTATCGAATTTCGTCCCATTCAAATAATTCTTTCCTGGTATGTCTTTTGTTTGTGTGTATTACAACCAAATATATGTGTTAAAATTTTTAATACATGTGATAACCGAGGGTCTCTCGCTGTGGTGTGTGGTAACCGAGAGGGGCAAACCTGTAGTAACCGAGAGGGACAGTCAGGATGTGGAGAGTTTTCCAGTACCTCTCTGCACCTTGGGAGACCTTTACAGTCCTCACAGAGTACAGGCAGTTGTGGTCGAGGCAGAGTGGAAATCTTGGGAATGTCCACACACAAAAAAAAAACGAAGACACAGTTGCACTAGGAAAGTTCCGTGAACAGATAAAAGTTGAGCTAGAAGCGAAAGATAGAGAGATAAGAAGTTTTCTTACTGATCTACGGCATGGTCGAGAATCAGAAGATGAAGTGACGAGGGCTCCCGCTGATGGTGAAGTGACTATATTTTCGGCAAGGGCGAAGGTCTTATCTATCTTTGCCGAGAGAGGAAGTATTGAATTTCAGCGGATGTGCAACAAGAGCGTGGATCGGAAGAGAAATCGTACACTGGCGCCGCCCTGGCAGTTGCCTATCTTTAGATGTTGTTGGACTTCCATCTCAATCTCTTGCTTTAGCTCAACTCTTAGTCTATTACAGAGTTTTATTTATTCATCCTCAGTTTGTACAAATTGCATTACATATGATGATGTAATGACACATGACAATAATGCGTATAATCATTTACAGATGTGTTTCTATTATATAACATGAAAATCGTGTTATAAGTATTATACAATATAAGGTTGTTGGTTTATATTACCATATACATATATATAAAATAAAATGATTTAAAAGCGCGAATGTTTCTTTTATACATAAAACGAACTTCTACTGTCCTTACTGCAATGAAAAAATATATTGGGAGGGCTTGGCTCATCAGTGGTGAACCCTCCCAGCGGTTTCGCCAATTTAATACACCAGACCGCTTCTCAGAGCTCTAATACTGTATTGGATCATTCTGCTTTTATATGCTACACTGAAGGATGGAATCTTAGAAATGGTTTTCAAGTAAACTATGGACATAAGCTTATAGGACAGTAGAATTACATTCAAATATTTGCTTCAAGCAATGCTCTTCAGCAAACTATAAAGACAAGGCCAGTTAGGCATAAATTAACACAAAGCAATAACGCGCTATCTATATATATAAAATAAAATGATTTAAAAGCGCGCTTTTAAATCATTTTATTTTATATATATAGATAGCGCGTTATTGCTTTGTGTTAATATACATATATAAATTTATATTTATTTCTGGAAGTTCAGTGAGAACGTTTTAATATATAAGATTATATATAATAAAATGACTTGGTATTTATATAAAATTTGAGTCAAACCAATGTTCAATCAATTCCAGTTTTACGAGCTTACAAGCGCGAGTCCTTGAGATCACACTCTTCATTTAAACCGAAGGATTTATTTTTTACCGTTTAGATCTTATTGTTATCATTCCTATTATTTAAATTTGTCTTTAGTTTTATAAATAACCAAAAATATGGTGAAATGGAGAAAGAATCAGAATGACCTCCTTCTTTTCGTTTTTAAAATGCGGAGCGGAAAAACGAAGAGAAAGAAGTTTGTGAGACAATCATGGATGAAGAATCTATTGGAAGAATCCCTTCAGAAGAATTAAATCTTACTGATAGAGGAGGGTATTATTACTGTGAGAGTGATAATCACTAATAAAATATTTTAAAGGAAATGATAAAAGAACATGAAAAGATGAAAAGAAGCAAGTTTCTTCCTGTACTAAATTATCAACCAAATCCTTGGTACTTTACAGGCGGTTTTCGAAGAAAGAGAAAAAATATCAATTAGAAATATTCCTCGCAATCGGGTCACGGTCAAAACCAATCTTGTCATGTCCGATCCTATGGTTTACCTCTCTCCAAATCTTCACATATTGGCAAATTTGGAATTTGAAGAATTCTTTGAATTCTCTAATGAGCAAATTGACGTAGCGCGTAAGAGATACTGAAGAGGAATCCGCTATTGCCATCGCATACCAGCATATACCAGATATACTGAAGACAAAAATATTAGATATCAAAAATCCTCAAAAACAAAATCTCGACATATGTTTCAAGGGGGCTTAGTTCGAAGCCTGAAAAGGATAAAGCAGATATCTTAGCGCAAGATTTATCCTAAGAAAACTATAATTTCAATGGTTTGTGGCGACCACACTTTGCTTGAGCGAGCGCGAACTGGGACAAAGCTTCACTACACATACGGGCAGTAGTGTGGCGGCCTGACTACGCATGCGCGCGGGACGTCATCCGACACTGCTGGCCACTGGCGTCATAACAACAAGGCTTGCTCCCAACGGCCGTTACTTCAACCGTTACTTCTTTTCTCTTCATATATTTCTGGCTTCGAATAAATTAATTTCAATTATAATTTTATCAGCGGCCTTTCCACAAGCCACACCAACACATCACGCAACCATCCCACAGGTTCAATATGATCAATGAAGATAAAATAAAGAGAAATGTCAATAAAGCTTGGTTATAATGATCCAGTATAACACGTCTATGAAGATGCTATTAATCCAAATATTGCTGGCCCCTTAATAGTT